ATAAAATTTACATGAAAACTTTATCAATCATAAAATACTTTATAATCACTTAACATTTTTACTGTCAAAAGTTGAAGGAATCATAAGTATATTTGGAGTGCATTTTGCAATTTGGAACTATAAATTCTGACTCTTCTGGAAAAACACTTATGTTCATAGGGAAACTAATGGCACATACGTTGTTTTTAAACCGGGCTAGAATTTATAGTTCCAAATTGCAAAATCTAATCCATTTAATGTCATATTTTTTACCTCATTACTACGCTGCATTCATCCTTAGCAAAATTGATTTTTAAATAAAATACATAAAAGTGCACGAGTAAAGAAACTCATTTTGTCCTAAACGAGAGAGACAATTTAGAATAGATTTCGGAAGAAATTAGCGGATTACACATTTCCTGAGGGATACTCGTTTTTCAACTCTCACCCTATTAAAATATCCGACGTCAAAACAAAGATTCCACCGAGCTTTTGTCCCGCTTTACGTGCCATTATTTTCGTCACTGGGTCACACAATGCCCCCATCGGACCCCTGCCCCATGAAATATTTATTAACAATTATTTCCAGCGCCGCGGCACGCGGCAATCCCGTTCGCATGCGAGCNGGGGGGGGGGGGGGGACGCTTCCGTGGCCGAAAAGAATAAATACCTCCAGAGTTCCGACAAGGAGTCAGATTGTGAACACTTCCGCCCCCGCCCCTCTCTCCCGCCACCTCGCGCGGCCGGCGGGGATCAAAAAACGGTTGTAAACCGCGGTTTTATCGATTCGAAGATTTCGGGGGTGGGCTACGCTAACCCCTAACCGGGCGCGCGTGCCGGCCGGGGGGTACAAGGGGCGGTGGGGGGTGGTGCGTAGAGCGTAAAAGGGGCGTACGTTATGGTGCGTGCTCGCGCTCGCGGGGTGCGTGCGCTGCTCGGCCGGCGACTCAGATTCGGAGGCAGATAGCGGCGGTCCGGCGTGCCGGGATACCGCCCGCAATGCACGCGCGCCTGGAGGTAGGCAGTTCGCCGTGCACGTGCGCCTGGGGATAGGCAACCCACTATACGTATGTGCCTTGAGATAGGCAATTAACTGTACAACTGTGAGTGGAGATAGGCAATCCGCTATACATGCGTGAGTTGAAATAGGCAATTTACTGTACGACTGCGAGTGGAGATAGGCTACTCGCTGTACAACTATGCGCCTGGAGGTATGCAATTTGCTGAACATTTGCACCTAGGGATAGGCAGTTTACTGAACAGCTACGTGTGGATTTGCTGCACATCTACGCCTGGAGATAGACTATTCTTTGTGCGTGTGCGCCTGGATTTATGCAATTCGCTATACATATGTGCCTTAAGATAAGCAATTCACTGTGCAGCTACACGTGGAGATGGGTTACTCGCCGCACAAGTGTGCAATCATGCGCCTGGAGGTATGAGATATGCTGTACAACTGCGCGTGGAATCACTCCACATCAACGCCTGCACTGAGAAAAAACTATGGCTTATAAACCTATTAGAGGTAAATATGGAACACCACTAATAGTAGTACCTCTACATATAATAATAGCACATATACCTTAGTTATGGTACGGGGTACCTTAATTAGGTACAGAGACCTTAGTATGGTTCACAGACTGAGAATCATTAGTTTATTTACGACTATTATAGGTGTTCCATATTTACCTCTAATAGGTTTATAAACCATAGTTTTTTCTCAGTGTGTGTCTAGCCTGTGCCCAAAAAAAAGATGGCTCAGACTCATGACGTCACTCCTCTGACATACGTGCGTATCTCTATTTTCACTTGAGCCCCGGGTGGGATGGAGTTATAAGGACAGCAGGGCTCACGTGCAAATTAAGATACGCCCTTACGTCAAAGACGCGATGGCGAGCGTTGGAGGAGAGAAAAGAGCAAAAATGAAGATGGATTCTCGGATCCGACTTTGCATCGAAACGATGTGACCGTGATTGTACAAGCGGAAAAATTGATGAGCTTTCGTTTATTGTCCGTTAATTAATCATCCTCGAGAAATTTCGGGGGGTCGTGACACGAGAATCGATGATTGATGGCTCATATTTTGATTGGAGATCAAGGAAGTAGGAATAAACTTTCGGCCGTTGATGAACTATGCGCTGATGCTTCGCAAATCGGAGCTCATAATCTACATATTTTTCTGATATTTTTTTTTTTTTTTTTTTTTTTTTTTTTTTTTTTTTTTTTTTTTTTTTTTTTTTTTTTTTTTTTTGTAACTCAGAAGAGGGAACACTTCCGGCACGAGTATTACTGACGGGCCACAGGCCAAAGTCAGTAACACATACTATCTTGCTTGAAAAAAAGGGTAAACGTTATTTTAAAGTAAAATTTAAAAAAGAAAAAAAAACATTTTAAAAAAAATTAAATTTTAAGCGAAATCAAAAAAAAATTGTTCGATATCAAGAAACGACCTGACAATACTTGACGTGCTTATAACGACGGACTTCTGATATTATTATTATTATTATTATTATTATTATTATTTAAACAAATCGTATTCAAAAGCAGCGTAAGTACTACCGAAACTACATGGCTGTATCTGCACACGTATAATTTTTACGAGGGTATATCAAGACACGAAGTAACATAAGATAATGAAGATTACGTGGAAGAACCGGAATTTTGAAACTTTTAATAGAGAGAAATTACTAAAAACGCCGTATGAACGTTTCGGGGTTCCCGAATTTCCTTTGATAAAATACAACGTTAACGGCGAAGTTTTCTTCTAATTTTTCAGACAACTGTATTCGCAATTTAACCCAAAACATCTGAATAATTCAATGCAAAATGTGCGTAGGTAACTTTCTTTCAAAATACATTTTTATCATGTAAAATTCCGCAACATTCGAATGTTTATACGCCGTTTTTTCTTTAGCACAGCAGCATGATAAAGGAATTCAAAATAAAGTAATACCTACAAAAGTTGAGTTTCCGAGCTATTAGATTTCATTTGACTTATTAATAAAGTTCTGCGGTAAGTTTTACGTTGCTACTCGTATTCTTAGTGCTTCGATAATTTTTACAAGTACAGTTACGATTGGTAATGTTTACATGATGCTTCTTTGTTCTCAGAGCGGTGAGTATTGTTGAGTATCGTTAGCACATGGTTGCCGCATGGGGAGGCAATCCGAGTCTCTTCTCGCGAATCGATTAAATATTTCATATTTTCCCCGTCAGACCGGCAACCGCTTGAAATACTGCTATCTCGGCCAGAAGGGTTCGCTGATGTAGTTGCAAGGTGCATATAGTTGTTCTTCTCAATTTCGATGACTCTCAATGTTGACATGTTTACTTTGCTCTAGACGAGCCCCCGTAAACAATATTCATAATAACACAACAAAACATTGATAAAGAACGACATTGCCGTTAAGACGGACTACGGTTTCAAATTTTCAACCTTAAAATTTGGAAGTAAATTTTATCGTTAGAAAATGGAACGGGGGTTAAGGAAGATTATTTTTCACCAAGTCTTCCCATGACAGAGGTACGCACAGCCAGAGTTGGTTGTATTTGTATTGTATCTTAACTAAAAATCACTGAGTGAGGAAACAATTTAGCCCACACAATTTTAGAATATGACTAGCATCTTTCTAAAATTGAGTAACAAAATTAATTTTGACGGAACGAGATGAGGATGAACCTGAAGTTCTTTGGTTGGTTCCTCAGTATTCAGCGAGTAAAAGACATTGGTTCCTTTAAGAATTCTACAATTTACTTTCATACTTTATTCCAACCAAGACTAAAAACTCGATTCCTAAATGTTACGCTTTTTAACTAGAGTAAACGACGCTGCCTTTGAAGTACCATTTAGGCTGAGACAAAAAAATACACAAAGAAAGGAGATTTGAGCTTCATTTCAAGGAATGTTGAAAAGCATTGTGACGCGTCGCATGCGCAGAGTAGAGAGATTTTATTCACAAAAGACGTGTCTCTGCCGCGTAATTAAGCTAATCAAAGTTGCTAGATTTTTCAAAGGCTTCACGGTAATAACCAAACACCATCATCCCTTTTTGCATAGGATACTTAAATAAACTCAAGGATTTTAAGGAGATATGAACCTGGTCGTAGTGAGAGGCACACGCTAGATATTTACATGGTAAATGCATCCGTTTTGAAAAGATCCCTCTAATAATTTTAGGATCGTTAAGAGGATATGTAACTTGGTCTTCGGAGAGAACTCACCGGAAAGGGCGCTAGAATTTAGCAAGATGGATGCATTCTTTTTGATTCGGATTTTTCAATAATTCAGGGATTCTAAGGGGGATATATGTACCAGAACTGAGGAGATACACGCATGGGGGGAGAGGGATTTATGCAACGCCCTTCTTGAATAGGACCTATCAATAACTTCAGAAATTTGAAGGAGGCACAAGCGTAAATGCTAAAGGAGGTTCTGAAATTTTGCATGGCGGTTACGCCCCTCTTGAATACGAAACTTCAACACTTTTTGGGACTTTGAGGGAATACGTCCCTCGATCAAATGGTAAAGGATAGTGGATCATTGCATGGTAGATACGCCCTTTTTGAATAGGATCCTCGAGAATTTAGAGATTTTGCTCCTCCATCATGGCAGTTACGCCCCTCTTGAATAACACGATTCAACACTTTTTGGGAGTGTGAGGGGATACGTCCTTCGATCAAATGGTAAAGGATACTGGATCATTGCATGGTAGATACGCCCTTTTTGAATAGGATCCTCGAGAATTTAGAGATTTTGCTCCTCCATCATGGCAGTTACGCCCCTCTTGAATAACGGAACTCAACACTTTTTGGGAGTGTGAGGGGATACGTCCCTCGATCAAATGGTAAAGGATACTGGATCATTGCATGGTAGATACGTCCTTTTTGAATACGATCCTCGAGAATTCAGAGATTTTGAACCCGGATTCGAACCAAACGAGACGCCCTTTCGAGGCGCCTCTCGGATTCTAGCCGCGCTGCAATGGAAACGCTGGAAACAAGAGCATAACACGACTACAAACCTTTAAAACTCATAAAATTCCTGCGAAAACACCCAGAAGGAGACGGATCCCCTCCTCGCCGAGTTCGAAACAAAACCTTCCGAAAACCGCGGCCCTTTTCGGGGGGGCGCTCGACACAAAGCACAAGGGGGCGCCTCGCACGTGCCCAGACCTCGGAAACTCCGATTCGGGGAGAACCGGTTTCGGACTCGCGTCACAGGTCACACGACACCCGAAATCGGCGGCCGGGGAACAACACACGGGAGCGCGCTGCGAGTGTGTTGGTGACTCGACTCGAGGTTCCGCGGGCCTGCCGTCCCGTTATCGAGCGCGGGGCGCCCCCAAGGGCGCGTGCGCCCCGGCCGCTTCGATCCCTTCCGAGCCGCCTCCCGCCAGATCCCCGCGGAATCCCTGCGCCGGGCCCGCGACCGGGGAGCTTTTCGTGGTGGATCCGACGACGTCGATGCAATGTCAGCTGAGCCGTTCCGCGCCTGCACAGCTGCTGTCAGGCATGCACCCAGGAGTCCCGTGTTGCCGGCTCGGGCAGCCCTGGGAAACCCTGGGAAAAACACCCGTGTTTTTCCGCGTCACCTTTCCCGCCCTCCGAAGGGACGGGCGAGGGCGAGGGGGATGTTTTCGAAGCGTAGTTCCGCGTCGCGGCGCTGCGCTAACATCCATTGTGCAATTTTTTGCGACGGACCGCCTGAGCGAATTACGGCCGGGCGACTGTAACTACATGCATGGGAAAATGGATTTTTAGGAGGAGTTCGTTGCCGTGGACTCAGGGTTGCCGCAAAAATTAAAAGATAAAATTCTCGGACTGCCTGAGCAAATAATAGCGGGGCAACTGTAACTACATGCATTGGAAAAGGGATTTTTTAGAAAGAGAGCCCATTTTTAGAGAGACAGCCCACTCGTTGCCATGGATTCAGGGGTGCCACAAAAATTAAAAGATACAATTCCCAGACTGCCCGAGCAAATTACAGCGGGGCAACTGTAACTACATGCATGGGAAAATGGATTTTAAGGAAGAGAGCCCGTTCGTTGCCGTGGATTTAGGGTTGCCACAAAAGTTAAAAGATAAAATTCCCGGACATTTCCTTGATTTCCCTGACACATTCGGGTGAAATTCCCGGACAATAAATTGAAGATACGTAAGATGGTTAACAAGACATAATTAGAAATAGTTTTCAGGCAAAATGTGTTGTTCGAAACGTCGGACCCATTCCAGACAGCAAATAAAGGTGACCCGACAATTTTTCCCTGACATTTTCGTCACTTTTCCTGACATTTCCAGATTTTCCCTGACTTTTTAAAATTTCTTGACATTCACCGGTATTCCCTGACTGCAGCAACTCTGTATGATGCATATTTGCAGAATTTCAATAAATTTCACATGAAAATCAACCCTGGGTTTGGGTAGGTAGCAGGTAATTAGAAAATCAGGCGTTTTACGAAATGCCTAGGCCGATAGTCAAATTGAGACTATAGAGATAGCAGGTAAACTTCATCACATGTAAAGGCACAAATGAGTTTCAGGCGGATTTGGAACTTTCAAGCTCTTTCTCTGAAAACAAATTACCTAGGGGTTGATTCCTTTCCGAGCAGGTAACTCGATCCATTCCAACCAAATAAGATGTACCGATCCACGGTTTCGAAGTCAAATAAATTATGAAATCTGACGAAACGCGCCGAACTGCTAATATATCGACACCAGACGCAGAACGCCGCACAGTGGAACGATTATGGAAAACGTGGACCACGATTATGACAATTTAAAATTTTACATCTTCGAAAGAACGATATGTAAAAATTTAGTCATTGGCTTAGTCGTCAAACTTCCTTACAAAAAACACCTCTCACTGGGGGAAAAAATTATCTTGGATTCAGATGCCAGACACTTAGAAAAATTGGACAAGAAAAACTTCTCGTGATTCAAACGGATTTCAGCTTGAATCGAGAGCCTAGCCTCTTAATTTACGCGCATTCTCTTTTGACTCAAGCAGAAAATCCGATTACTGCGAAAGCACATTTTCTGATGAATTTTTTTTAGGAGCCTGGACCCTGGGGGTCTGAGAGATTTTTTTTCCAATGCTTGAAAATGGACCGCGTTAAGCAGAAAGGAGCCAAGCCGTATCAGCTATTGCCAAATGTAACTTTATAGGACATTAATGGACAACAATAAGGAATTTAATTCTTGACAAGAGGACGTTTGTGCATGTGAATTCCTTCGAAAATTCCATGGAATTTGCTTCGCACTATACGGGAAAATCACTGGGATTCGCACAAAAATCGCGCAAGCGCTTTCATGTAAAAAATTAAATTCCCCAAATGAATTTGGCAATAGTTGACGTGGCTTGGTTCCTTTCTGCTAAACGCGGTCCAATCGGAGCTGTGAAGACATAAACATCTGACACTTTTTTCTATACAAATTACAAATTTCCAAAAACCGATTATACTTAGACGACTTACTTTTTTATTATTCTTGACGCACAATGGCAGTCACCTGGTGATGGGCGACATGCCCGAAATAGCCTTTGTACGTAAAGAGTAATAAAAAAATAAGTCATCTAAGTAAAATCGGTTTTTGAAAAAAAAATTAATTTGTGTAGAAACAAGTGTTCATAGTGCCAATAATTTGTTAGAAAAATTGTGTTGTATGCTATAACGTAGTGATAAACATCAAAATTTGCAATTTGAGTCAAACGTTCCAATGGAGAATTTGCCAGGGTCTGGATTTGATGAATTTCGGGTTTAGGTGGAATCTACTGAGTGAACTAAACACAAAGATACACTTGATTCATAAATTGAGTATATATTAGAGGAGATATGACAAAATAACCGATTCTGCTAAAATACGTGTCTTTAAATGGGAAATGCCGCCAGATGACGTCATAGAGCAGCACATTTTCTCACTTTCGAATCAATTTTCCTCCAATTTCCCGTATCAGAAAAAAATAATGAAAAATATTGCGAACTCAGCTCATTACGCACTTTCAGACGAAGCAATCAAATTTTTGTGTGCAAATTCTCCATTGACCTCTTCTAGAAGATCCCCTCACTGTGCGCCGAGGGGCGGGGGGGGGGGGGGGGGGGGGGGGGGGGGGGGTGCGTGGGGGGTGTGTGGACGAGGGTTGTTTTTCCTCGGAGCGGTGAAAAAATCAAACGGCCTCGGTTGGTAATGGAACGGTATCAGAGGAGATATGACAAAATAACCGATTCTGCTAAAATACATGTGTTTAAATGGGAAATGCCGCCGGATGACGTCATAGAGCAGCGCATTTTCGCACTTTTAAATCAATTCTGCTCCAATTGCCCATATCAGAAAAAATTATGAAAAATACCGCGAACTCAACTCATTACGAACTTTCAGATGAAGCAATCAAATGTTTGTGTGCAAATTCTCCATTGACCTCTCCTAAAAGCTCCCCTCACTGTGCGCCGAAGGGAGGGGGGTGCGTGGGGGGAGGGTGGACGAGGGTTGTTTTTGACGCTTGTTTTTGATGCTCAGATGAAGCCATCAAATTTTTGTGTGCAAATTCTCCATTGACCTCTCCTGTAAGCTCCCCTCACTGTGCGCCGAGGGAGGGGGTGCGTAAGGGGGGGGGGGCGAGGGTTGTTTTTCCTCGGAGCGGTGAAAAAATCAAACGGCCTCGGTTGGTAATGGAACGGTAAGTCAGTAGGCGCGAGTTTTCCCAGATTGAGTTGGACAACAGTGGCGTGGCGTGAATGATCGATTATCGATATCTCGCCATTTGAAGCTATGGTAAAGAATCGATTACTAAGGTGTTCGCTGCGAACACCCTGATAATCGATCTTTTTTCATAGGTTTAAATGGCATAACAATCGATATATCGCAATTCACGCCGCGCCACTGGTCACGATCATTCGTAAATTCGAGGGGGAGGGGGGGGGGGGGTTGGAGGGCTCGGTTCGCTTATTCCGATGATGGAGTGATAAATGGGGAGGGAGTTCCCGATCCCCCCTCGCGGAACTCGCAAAACCGCGTAACCTCGAACGCTGTTCCGCGGCGGATGAGCGGTTTTTGTCGGAGGGGTGGTGCTCGCGCTGCGCCGCGCGCGGTTTGCAGGCGCCATTCTTTGCGTTCGGATTCCTCCCTGGAGAGCCCTCGGATCCGCGCCGTGAGCACTTCATAAGCCGCGACGTCTTCCGGGAACACGTGACGTCACGCGGGCTCGTGCCCAAAGACTTAAAGACTGCCGTGATGGCGAAGAGAGCCGTAAGTGCGAAGTTTTCGAGATCGAGTTTCCTTCAAAATTCGTCTAAACTCTTTTGGATGAAATTACTGAGACAGCTAAAACAGCAAAATGCATCCTAATTTAATGAAAACGAGACGTATGTAAAAGCCGTAAGTGCACAAAAAATGACACAGTTTTTTTTTCAAGACAGCCGTAGATGCATGAGAGCCAATGAAAACAGTGCTTTCCAGTAAAGTGCCGCCCTCTCTTGCCAATTTCTAACCTGCGAATGTGTTTGTTGTGCGTCCAAAACGCAACCACGAAAGCATGCAGAAGATAGCCTGAAGATCTAGGACTGTAACGACCTGTTTGAATCGGCAGGACCACCATGAGCAGAAGAAAAACCTCGAGTTTTTCGTTATGATACCACCAGCATCATGCGTAAAAGTTAACCCGTGTATCCAATTAGGGAGGACCAGCTCTTAAATTTCTTCGATTTACTCATGCTTTTAGTTAAATGACCTCGAAAGCAGTTTAGAAAAAGCAGTGAAATAAAAATATACTAAATAACTTACGAGTGACAGCAATGGTTATTAACTCTTACCTGGAACAAAAACAAATTAAATATTAAAAATAATTCAAAGTTTTGGCTTTTGATTGCTTGTCAGGAAAGTTATTGAGACGCGAGAAATCAAATTTTCAAAAAAAAAAAAATTAACTTAGAAACATTTCCCCCTTTGTTATGGAGGTTTCCTACGTAATGCAGCTGCGTGATGGCATTGCAATGATTTGGTAAAAACTTTGCACGTTAAGTCGAACAAATAAATTGGGTATGAGGGAACTTAATTTTTAAAACCTATGTGAATGCATCATTGTTGTGCAGCATTTAGTAAACTTGGAAGATAAACGAAAGTTAATTTCATCCGACTTTCGTGGGTTAGAGGTTAATCTAATTAGTATTATTCAATACAAAATTTAAAGACCTGAGTAAATTTTCATAATCCTACGGTTTAAACTAATAATTCTTTTTAAAAAAAGATCCGCAACTGTACTTATGTTGAGCCAATACAAGTGTACTAAAGGACGTACTCGTT